TTTCTTCATCCTTTTCTGTTTGATTGTTTCTTTTTTCCTCCTGGTCCACTCCTTTGATTTGAGTCCCAGTTTCCTTTCCATCCCTATGGGTTTCCTGTGCATTTCCCTTCATTTTAATTAGTTTAGCCTTCACTTGTTCCTCTAATTTGTGACTAAAATCAACCAGTTCTGTGAGCATCCTGATCACCAGTGTTTTGAACTGTGCATCTGATAGGTTGGGTATTTCTTGGTCACTTAGAGTTATTGGCTCTGGAGCTTTGAGTTCTTCTTGAGCCATGTTTTGGTCTGTTCACACCTGTTACATATGAGGAGCAGAGCCCTAGGTTTTCCCCAGGGCAGGGCAACTCAGTTTCTGGGTTGTGACAGTGTATGTGGGGACGGGGTCAGAGAGGGGCAATAGTGGTCGCCTCTGCTGCTTCCAGCTGCTGGGGCTTGCAAGGTCTGTCTCATTGCTCACTCCTTCGCCTGTTTTATCTGTGTGCAAATGTGTGACCTCGGTCATCCTGCCGCCTTGCGCCATCACTGGGTCTGCCCTTTGCTACCCACACCTGGGATCCACCCACAGCTGCCTGTGCACCTGGGTCAGTCAGCAGATCTTTCCTGCCCAACCTGCTCCAATGCTGGCTCTGCCCCTCTTACCAGTGTGGCCGAATGGTTCGTTGTTGTCGGACTTCCATACAGTTCAATTTTCTGTGATTTGGCTGCATTTTTGTTACTAAAACTTTGTTGTCTTTAAACTTGGTTGTTCAAGGAGGTACAGTGTTTCCACCTACGCCTCCATCTTGGCCAGAAGTCCTCAAATTCTTGTTTTACTACTTCCTAGCTAATCACTTTACATCTCTGAGCCCCTATTTACAATGCACAGTATCTACTGTGATCATTAAATGAGATAACATAAGTAACCCACCTCGTATCCAGTGGTCAGCAAAGGCCAGTTCATTATGTTTAATTTCTTTTTTTTTTTGTTTTCCAAGTATATTTTATTAATTATGTTACTACAGTTGTCCCAATTTTGTTATCGCTTTTATCCCCCTCCTTCCTACAACCCTCACCCTCCAGCACTCCCCCCCTCCCCAGCACCACTTCAGTTTATGTCCATTGATTGTACATATAAGTTCCTTGGCTTCTCCATTTCCTATACTATTCTTAATCTCCCCCTATCTATTGTGCCTAGCTATTATGCTTCTTATTCCCTGTACCTTTCCCCCTATGTCTCCCTTCCCACTCCCCACTGATAATCTCCATGTGATCTCCATTTCTGTGATTCTATTCCTGTTCTAGTTGTTTGCTTAGTTTTTGTTTTTTAGGTTCAGTCATAGATAGTTGTGAGTTTGTTGTCATTTTACTATTTATATTTTTGATCGTCTTCAGTTTTTTAGATAAGTCCCTTTAACATTTCATGTAATGAGGGCTGGGTGATGATGAACTCCTTTAACTTGACCTTATCTGAGAAGCACTTTATCTGCCCTTCCATTATAAATGATAGCCTTGCTGGGTAGAGTAATCTTGGCTGTAAGTCCTTGCCTTTCATGACTTGGAATATTTCTTTCCAGTCCCTTCTTGCCTGTAAGGTTTCTTTTGAGAAATCAGCTGATAGTCGTATGGGCACTCCTTTGTAGGTGACTGCCCCCTTTTCTCTTGCTGCTTTTAAGATTTTTTCCTTATCTTTAATTCTGGATAACCTAATCAGGATGTGTCTTGGTGTGTTCTTGCTTGGGTCTAATATCTTTGGGACTCTCCAGGCTTCCTGGACTTCCTGTAAGTTTATTTTCTCCGCCAGGTTGGGAAAGTTTTCCTTCATTATTTGTTCAAATAAGTTTTCTATTTCTTGCTCTTCCTCTTCTCCTTCTGGCACCCCTATGATTCGGATGTTGGAACGTTTAAATTTGTCCCAGAGCTTTCTCAGCTTCTCCTCATTTTTTTGAATTCTTGTTTCTTCATTCTGTCCCAGTTGGATGTTTATTTCTTCATTTTGTTTCAAATCCTTGGTTTGAGTCCCAGTTTCCTTCCCTTCACTTTTGGTTCCCTGTATATTTTCCTTTATTTCACTTTGTATAACCTTCATTTCTTCCTTCATGTTGTGACTGAGCTCGGTCATTTCTGTGAGCATCCTGATTACCAGTGTTTTGAACTCTGCATCAGATATTATTATCTCTCATCACTTCGTTCTTTTTCTGGAGTTTTGATCTGTTCTTTCATTTGGGCCATATTTCTTTGCCTTGGCACACCTGTTATGTTGTAAGGGGTGAGGCTTAGGGATTCACCAGCAACCTTCTTTACTGCTGTGGTGGTGCTATCTGTGAAGTAGGGGTCAGAGAGGGAACAATGCCACTTGCTGGTCTGCTTTAGCCCTACTTTCTGCACTTCCCTCACTTCTCAGAAGTGGATTGTGGCTTTTCAGATGCTGATTCACACATGAGTGGGTTTGTGTATGTTGTAGGACCCTGTGGGCCTCTCCCAAGGACTCTCCTGTGATCCTGAGAATTTTTCCCACTGCCACAACTCCCACGTATTTTTACATCCAGAGTTTTTGAGTCTGTAGTTTCCCACGCTGAAACCCTGGGTTCTGCAATCTGTCTCTATTCCCAATGGTTTTTCCCAGCTTATCGGCCCATGAATGTGGGACCAACTGGTCCACCAGCCACCTCCTTGGCTGTGTGTCCTCTTCACCTCAGATTCCTGTCTCCGCCCCCTCCTACCAGTCAGGATGAATGTTGCTTTAATTCCTTAATTGTTGGACTTCCATGAAGTTTGAATATTTCATGAAGTTCTGGTTATTTTTTGTTTTTAAACTTTTTGTTGTCCTTCTTTTGGTTGTGCAAGGAAGTGAAGCATTTCTAGCTAGGTCTCCATCATGGCTGGAACTCCTGGGCTGCTTTCTCCAAATCCTTGGCGTATCAGTACAGGAGCAGCTCCCTATGTTTAATTTCTTAAAAACTTTCTAAATCCTGAGAAGATTGGATCCCAGACAAAGACTTTTCTAATAGCCCACACAGCTCAAACCTGTTGGAGCAGGCAAAAGTGCCATCTGCCTGACTCCTCTAAATTTTTCAAATTCAAATCCAAACCTTTCTCAGTTGTTGTTGTTTTAATAAGGACTGCTTCAAATTTGAACCATGTGCACTGTTAGTGGAAATGTAAAATGGTGCCTCTCCTATGGAAAACAGTATCGTAGTTTAAATAATTAAAAATAGAATGATGGAATATTTCAGTTCTAGAATTTTTCCATTCTAAATAGAATTGAATTTTATTCTAAGTAGAATTCTAAATTCTACTGAGTATATATCTAAAATAATTAAAAACAGAGTCTCAAAGAGATATTTATACACCCATGTTCACTGCAGCATTATTCACAATAGCAAAGAGGTAGAAACAACACAAATGTCCATCAGTGGATAAGTAAATTTAATAAATGAGATCTATTTATGAAATAGGATAGAGTAGGAAGGAAATTTTGACACAAGGTATAACATGGATGAAACTTGAGAGCACCATGCTAAGTGAAATTAAAAAGACACAAAAAGATAAATACTGTATGATCGAACCTATATGAGATTTTGAGTAGTCAAATTTATAGAAACAGAAAGTAGAATGATGGTTGCCAAGGGGTGGGGAGTGGAAGAAGAGTGGGGAAATGGGGAATTTTTGTTTAATGAATATACAGTTTCGGTTTTGAAAAATGAAAGAGTTCTGGAGACTGGTAGCACAACAATGTAAACATTCTTAACACTTTTTATGTGTACATTTAAAATTGTTAAGAGTGTAAATTTTATGTTTATAAGCAGTTTACAAAAATTTTTATAAAGGGGGGTTGTTTCCTGGATATTGAGGGTATTAGTTTCCTGGATATTAGTTGAAGAGAGCATTTAGGATGTAATCTAAATTCTGAGGCTCCCAAATGTTTTCTTCCAACCCCTAAACTCCAAATTCATACTCATATCCCTGCCTGTGTACATCTCCACTGGAATGCCTAACAGGCATATCTAACTTAGCACATCCAAAGCATACTTTGGTATTCCACCCAAGTCTGTTCCTCCCCATCTTTCCAATACCAGGAAATGGAGCTACCATTCATCCAGTTGCTTAAACTGAAAATCTAGGATGCATCCTTCACTTCCCTAACTCCCCATATCAGGTTCATCTTCAGGACTTGTCAGTTCCCTGTCTAAAAATACATTCATTAGCTTTCTTCCACTGCATTGGGCCAATCTGCCATCACTTCTCCATGAGGCAGCACTGGTGCCTCCTGCTTTCCTCCTCACTCCCTTTCCCCACACAGTCTCTCCTGTGTGCCTTTAAAAATGTGAATCAGATCCTGTTGCTTCTCCTGAATAGTTTAAAAAATGACGTGTCTCTTTTAGAATAAAAACTAAATCCATTCTATGGCCTAAAACTCCCTTCCTGATCTAGCTCCTGCTTGCTTCTCTGACCTCATCTTTCCCTTGTATGGGGTGTCCACACCTGTAAAATGGGTATAGCAATCATCTCTCCCACATTGTGAATGCCAGCTGTGTGCTAAGCCAGGCACCTTACACACAGCATCTCATGTTGTCCCGCTTCAACCTAACAAGGTAAGTGTGAACCCTAAAATCAAATGAAAGTGTATGATGTTATTACACAGCAAGCCAGAGCCAGAAGAGTGAGTACTAGCTCTGGGGCAGGGATGGGGACTCACAGGTTGCAGAAAGAGTTAATTAAGATGCCTCTTCCCAAATCCTGGCCCTCCCCATCTTGGCATCTGCCCTTGTGGGTTTAATGAGAAATCCAGGCACTTCGTAAGAGCCCGTACAAATAACTTCTAGGTTGCCACTAACTTATTGAGCAGAAAGAAACCCAGAGCTGCCAGTGCTTCAGGGAAGATAGTGAGTGGAAAGAAGGTCGTTTTTATAGCGCCAGGCAGGCAGGATTTGCGTAGTTGAGTGTGGGCTCCACCCCTGAGGCAGAGCTGAAAAAGCCAGGATCCTGGCTCCTCAGCCCCTCTCTTCACAATATTTGATTAGGAATTTGGGGGCGGGACCCTGGCCTGGCACAGACACTGACACTCTCAGTAGACACTCTCACTCCTCTCTCTCATACACACTTTCTTCAACCCAAGGAGTCCACAGACAGAGAGACGTGGTCACTCTCTGAAAGGTTCAGCTCCAGGTAAGTGTAGTTTATTTTTACTCGTTTTCACATCTTTTAGTTCAATAAAGAAAGTAAAGAAGCGGGGCTGCTGGGGAGTGGGAAGAGGGAGGACTCACTCCTCATTTTCTGTGGACCATGACCCCAGGATGCTGGACAGAGCAAAGAGGAAGTAAAAAGAAGGGAGTTCCAAATACTACCTTTTTCCTGGAGCTCCTTTCTGATTTTGGGTGGGTGGGGGAGTCCAGGGGAGGCTCCAGTTATCAGGCACTAAAGCAAAAGAAAGCCAGCTTTGCCCTACTACTACTCATAAATGCTACCAGCTTAGCCCCACGTCCCTGCTGTCTCTCTTATAGAGGGCTGTGTGAACTAAACACTGCTATGGAGGAGGGGAGTTTTGTGAATTGTCTGAGTATGTGGGGTGTGTGTGTGTGTTGCTGGAGTAAAAGGGAAAGAGAAAGAGTTGATCATGTCTAGGGAGCTGTGAAGTATGGGTCCAGTCCAGGAAGGAGGTGGGTTCTGATTTGACTTCCTCCACTCTGACAGGAGGGAGAGATGGTTCCCTAGAGAGAAGAAATGAAAGAACAGCAGTAACCCCTGAGTGAGCTTACCCACCTCACAGAGTCTGTCCTGGGAACTTTCCCCCTCACAAAAGTCTGAGCACAGGAGGGTCTCTAGCATTAGGGAATAATTTAAAAGTAGACAATCCTGGTGCAACATTGCTAAAAGATAGGGGTGGGCAAGAAGAGGCATAAGGTCTTCATCGAACTGTGTCAGAAGTCGGGGCTCCGAAGGAGAGGCCAAAATGGGAAGGATGCATGCCCCAGGAAAGCTGAGTCTTGAAGGGGAAAGTGGCTCTTGTCTGCCAAGGTACCCAGTCTGGAAGGAGAAATGGAGACAGAGGCTCACTGTGCCAGCCTCCAGACAGCCACCTTGATCCTGCAGCAGCCCAGAGCTGTGCATGGAAAAAATGTGCTGCTGGCAGTGGGCTGCTTCATCAGTCTACTCTCCTGGCCAGACCTGGGCCCAGTCAGTAAGCCCAGGCAGTGGGCAATTGGGCTGACTTTCTGAAACACTGTGGGTTCTTTGTCTGAGGCCTCAGGCTGCTTGAGAATGAGCCAGGATGACTCTTCTCTGCAACCCAGAGGCTGATGGGATGAAGCAGGCTTAAAGAAACTGCTTTCAGGGGACAGAGAGGTCTGGGAAAGGTGCTGGACACAAAGTGACTATATTGTCATAGGCAGTGTCCTTCCCATTAGTTCTTTGGATTTGATGGTGGCTTTTAGATACCTTTCTTTTCCCTGTTCACAGGTACCAACCCCAGCAAGGCCCAAACAGCAATGTGAGAGATATATGTGACTTTTTTAGAACCAAGAAAGGTTCTGAGGTTTCCCCATCTAAGGGTGACACTCACACCTCTAGGAGGTGCCTATTGCTCATAGGGCTATGCAGTGCTTTGGCTGTAGGTATTCAGAGCAGGGTGTTCAGGCCTGATATTTCACCCCCTGGCCCCTCTTCTTCCATAGCTTCAGCTTCCCTCTCAGATGACACTAAGCCTACTTTTCTGTCTAGGACAGCCTGTTCTCATCTCACTAGCATGTATATAAGCTCAAATGCTGATGCCAGTGTAGGGGTCTTGATATGGAACCTTGTAATTGAGATGTCACCACAGGGAACTTGGAATGGGAGGGAGAATGCCAGAATCCCATTCTAAAGCCACGATCCCTTGGGCATACATGAGATTCTTCAATTCCTAGTCCTTTTTTTAGTGTTCCTCAATTCATGGTTCCATGTAGCTCTTGCATAATGTCCGTGGTGCAGCATGAACAGTGCTGACACTTTACTAGATACCACAAAATACAGCCAAGTGGACTGATTCAGGCTCCATGTACTCAGTCACTCTAGAAGACAAATGTCATTCCTGGGAGCCACTGTCCCCAGTCTGGAGGAAGCTCTAACTGTTAAATGAAAACCCTGTGCCTGCCAAGTTGCATATGTAGCCACAAACTGCTTACCCAAGAGTTTTCTCACCCAGCAGAATGTCCTAGATATTGGCACTTTGGAGGGTAGCTCAAGTCTCATGGTGGCTGCAGAAGGACCACACCCCTTCCCAAAGACTCAAAACCAGACATTCAGACTTCCCAAAAGACCAGAAGATCTTTCCGAATTAGTTCAAATCTTCCCCTTTGAGGTCTCAAGCTACTGGTGGAGGTTTCCTGAGACATGGAAAAAGCCACAGGGCTTTTTCCTTGGGCTCTTGAAAAATATTATTTCCCTGGGGAGTCCAAGTTGGACATGAATTCAGGCCTGAAAAGCATCCAAACTCCATCGCACAGGGATTGCTATGGGCTCTCCAGGTGCTCCAACAGAAACTTCAGGTTGCAATCGATCTGCCCCTCCAAAAAATGCAGCACCCCCTATTCAACTTTCTTCTAACCTCAAAGACTCTGCCTCTGTGACTCTATGACCAGGGGAACATGCACCTAGGTCTTATCAGGTAGCAAGCTACAGCTGGACCCAGTGTGCAGAGCCAGCCAGGAAAAAGGCATGGAGAAAGTGAGTGCAAGCTCCTGTTCTCAGATATTTGGCACTATATCAAGTCTGCTCAAAGCCTAAGGCTCACCCATTCTGCCTCCCTATAGCCTCACTCATGCCTGCTTGCTCTGTTCTCTTTCCCTTCTTGCAGAGAGACAAAATGCAGTGGGCCTCTGTCCTGCTATTGGCAGGGCTCTGTTCCCTCTCCTGGGCTCAGTATGATGAAGATCCCCACTGGTGGTTCCACTACCTCCGAAGCCAGCAGTCCACCTACTATGATCCTTATGACCCTTACCCTTATGAGCCTTATGAGCCTTACCCCTATGGGGTGGAGGAAGGTCCAGCCTATACCTATGGCTCTCCATCCCCACCAGATCCTCGAGACTGCCCCCAGGAGTGTGACTGCCCACCCAACTTCCCCACGGCCATGTACTGTGACAACCGCAACCTCAAGTATCTTCCCTTTGTCCCCTCCCGCATGAAGTATGTCTACTTCCAGAACAATCAGATCTCCTCCATCCAGGAAAGTGTCTTCGACAATTCCACCGGTCTGCTCTGGATTGCTCTTCATGGCAACCAGATCACCAGTGATAAAGTGGGCAGGAAGGTCTTTTCTAAGCTGAGGCACCTGGAGAGGCTGTACCTGGACCACAACAACCTGACCCGAATGCCTGGCCCTCTGCCTCGATCTCTGAGGGAACTCCATCTTGACCACAACCAGATTTCACGGGTCCCCAACAATGCTCTGGAGGGGCTTGAGAACCTCACAGCCTTGTACCTTCAACACAACGAGATTCAGGAAGTGGGAAGTGCGATGAAGGGCCTCCAGTCACTGATCTTGCTGGACCTGAGTTACAATCACCTTCGGAGGGTGCCTGATGGACTGCCCTCAGCCCTTGAGCAGCTGTATCTGGAGCACAATAATGTTTATTCTGTTCCTGACAGCTACTTCCGGGGGTCACCAAAACTGTTGTATGTGCGGTTGTCCCATAATAGTCTCACCAACAATGGCCTGGCCTCCAACACCTTCAATTCCAGCAGCATCCTTGAGCTTGACCTCTCCTACAACCAGCTGCAGAAGATCCCCCCAGTCAACACCAATCTGGAGAACCTCTACCTCCAAGGCAATAGGATCAATGGTGAGACTTTGGCAAAGGGGAATGGGGAGTGGCTGTCTATTTCATTGAAAAGATACTACTCTGAGTGCTAGTAGCAACACAAAAGAAATAGCAATAGGGTAACTAGAGAACAAAATGAGGCAACCTGAAAACCAAGGTTTTCAGGTTACACTTAACCTGAACAACACATAAACTAAACTAAACCAAGGTTTTCAGGTTACACTTAACCTGAACAACACTTAAACTAAACAACAATATTAATAAAAGTCAGTGGGGAGTGGATTGGTAAGACTTCCTAGAAGAGGTAAGTTTCAATCTAGATCTTGAGAGATAAGTGGGCATGGGTTAGAGGAACTCAAGACAAAGCCATTCTGGGGAGACAAATAGCCACTAACAAAGGAACCCAATCATTGAACAAGTTGCCTGTAGGAGACAGCCAGGGAATTCATGTGTCTGAGAGGAAGGAGTCATGAATTGAAGAGCAGCGAGATATGATTCTGGAAATGTTTGGTAGTGGCAGTTCATAGAGAGAAGGGATTTAAGTGGAACTTCAAGAATTCACCCTAGAAGGAAATGGGCTAAGAAACCATGGCATATCTCCAACTACTCTCTGACCCAGAAAAGGATGAGCTTTCTGTTTCCACCCAATCTTCTCCTGCCTCTCAAGCCTGGTCTTGAGTTTAGGTGTTTGTTTTTCAAACATAACAGCTGGTGGACAAGAATATGCAGCCTCTCAGAACTAAATGCAGTACTTGTTCTGGTCAGTTCTCTCTGGAGTTCAAGGACACCCTGGAAGTAGGGCAGAGGTCTCCCTAATGTAACATGAACCCAACTGAATATCACAAAGCCCTGAAGTAGAGGGCAAGGAAACTCAGCTTCTTGTTTTCCAAGTACTTCCTTGCAGGTGTCTGAAGGAACCAAAAAAGCTGCCTCTCTGCCTCTAAGAACTGAAATACTTATTTTAGATTGGATTGTCCACTTGCTTTTCACCTCTAAGAATCTTGTGGTTAGAATGTGCTTACATTACTCCAGGGCTTCTGATGCCTTAATCCTAGCTGGAAGGTCCTGAACCAGCATTTAACCTTCCTTACTGTGTCAGAAAATTTCCTCTCTCCCAGGGGAAAGAAAGACTCACTGATGATCACTAACAAAGGGTTCTGAAGTAGAGCCTGCTGAGAGAGAACAGCATAGATAGGGATTGTGTCCCTCTGTTTCTACTGATCATTTTTCTCCCTGTGCTCAGGGAACAGATGAGTCATTTGGCAAGATGTTAATGAACTGGATAGCCCTCTGAGTGAGAGGGACATCAGTCCTAGAGAATGACAGTGGGGCTGGAAAGGTGATGAGGTGTCTGGTCCTTTAGTTTGAAGTGCATGACACCATCATGTGCATTGCAAACTCTTTTGTCTTTAAAGTTTCTCTTTCTTTTGGGGATTTTCTCATTCCAAGGGAGGTGGTTCTCTAAGATGTTTCTAAAATGTTTCATGCCACAAAGTGTTTGACATTTACTGGTAGCTGTCCATCATTCCACAAATTCTACATAATTCCACCCAGAAGTCACCACTACTTACCTGCCACCCATTCTGAATCCAGGACTATTGTCACATCAGAAATATCATATTGTATGAAGTGCTTCATCAGAATTTGACCCTGAAAACGTGACAGCAAAAACCAGCTGTCATGGGAGAGAACCTGTTTGTTATTCCCTAACTGTGCAACCAGAGAAGCTTGGTGTGGAAATGGCTCCATCACAGCATCAGTCACCACTCCGCCCTCTTCCAGAACCACATCTGCTGCTCAAATATTAGGTAGCCCATTCTTTCCAAAAGCTCTGATGAAGATGAAATTACTTTACTAAAGTGTCCCAAGGTCTTGCAAGAAAGTTCTCCCTTAAGTCAAACAATCTAAACATTTTCATTGTCTACCCCAAAAGCCAAATCCTCTTTGTGTAGTTATTAGTCTCTCTACTAGTCTTTTCTATAGGCAAAACAACACCAATTTCTCAGTTTTCTTTTTTTTTATATTTTTTTAATTTTTATTTATTTATCTTTAGAAGGGAAGGGAAGGAGAGAAGGAGAGAAGTATCAATGTATGGCTGCTTCTGGTGCATCCCCGGCTGGGAACTGGCCCCTGCTGGGAACTGGCCTGCAACCCAGGCATGTGCCCTGACTGGGAATTGAACCTCGATCTTTTGGTTCTCATGCCCATGTCATTTATCTTAATTAGTGAATTAATAAATGGAAAGTGCTTGGTCAATGGTCTGACACATAATTGAAAAAGTAATTCACAATTACTATTGCTAGCTTTTTTTCTTATTACCACTTTGAAGGTAACAGGCATAATTTTGTTTTGTTTTACTTTCTGATTGCAAAGATGGGGAAACTGAGACGCAGAGAAGGAAACACAGTCTCTCCAGGTCACCCAGACTATGTAGGATAGCATCCTGAACCCCTGCTTTTATTGTCCAAGGACCTGGAGCCAGGTGTCTCTGGATGAGAATATGAAGAGTATCTCTCTGATTCAGACCACCAACATAAAAGATTGTTGCCCTGCACAGAAAGTCAGGGACCAGGGGTCGAGGAGCTCTGAGGGAGGATCCAAAAGGGCAGGAACTAAATGGTGTAGAGGGGAAAAGCCCTCTCCCCTCTTTTCTCTTCCTTATTCCATTAGCATCTTCCTCAGTTTTTTCAGCCTGGCAAAAGCAAGAGAATCTAGGGCTTTTGGGAATCCAGGAAGCAGGGAGGATACAGTAGGAGGAGTCTGGAAAGACTTATGTCAGTTTTAATCTGGCTGGAAAGTGTCTTCGGAATCTCCAAGCAGAAGAGCCCTGTCCTATTCATGAGCTTGGGGAAGACACATGAGTGTGGGGGGGGTGCTCACAGTGCCCAACACACAAGTAGAATCTATATACACTGTGTGTCCAACAGCCCCCAAAGACTCCTATATTTATATATGCAGAGTTGGGATCCAGGATTTGAACAGATGGTGTGAGGGCTCCAAGCAAGGTTAGAGAATCTATCCTAGGGTCTCCAGCACAGTCCCAAATAAGGCTGGAAAAAATACTTAAGCTGGGCCACTTTACTTCTCCCCAGTCTACCCCATTCCACTCCTTCTGTGCAGACACCACAGACCCAGCCCCTGGCCGTTGCTCTGCCCCCAGACTGCCCACTGGAGGCTACTTGATCTGTTCCCCAGCACCAGAAAGGAAACAAACAAAAGCATTTCAAATTTTCTCTTAGTACTCTCCAAAGAGGGGTATTTCTCATCGCTCCACTATGCCCAGTGTCTCATTATTCTTGTGGGCTGGACCTTTGCAGTATAAGTTAATTGGCTGCAGCCTCACCCTGTCTCCTCTTGGTCTGTTTTTAACAGAGACTGAAAACAATTGAATGTGCTAGTTCAAAAACATGTTTTTCATCAAGCTATACATTCTCTATACTGTCTTCCTTACAACCTTCATCTTCATCCTCATAAACTCTTCTTCTGCAGTGTCCTCTACTGTCCCCCCCTGGGAAGGGAGTCAGATAGCCTTCCTCCCACTCCTGCTGCCCAGCTTCAGGCCAGCACAGTTCCTGACCACTGCATCAAGCTGAGGAGTGCCTCTGCTGGATGCAAAAGCAAACTCTGCTCTGGGCAGCCTGCGTGTTACAGTCCTTGTGGACTGTACCGTGGAAGTGTACCGTGTGGATACTGCCCTTAAGACCAGATCTATTGGCACTACCGCTCACACAGAGATATTCCTGAAGCTCTCGCACACCGCAGTGAAGGAACCAAAGAGGCCTCAGAGCTTTCAGTGGTGACTTTTGTTGTCCCTGCTGGATTTTTAACTGAGTTCTTGGCATTTCTTCTTTCAAGTTCTTGACCTAGGTGACCCCAGAGAGAGGTGGTTGATTTGTCTAAGAAGACAACCAGAGGGATAAGGGGTGAAAGGTAGCAGCAGAATTTATTAAAACCAAACAGAACTATTGTACCTATTAGGATTACATGGTTTGTGGGGAAAGCTTCAAAAGGAGGAAATTCTATTGAGATTTTTAAATAACAGATAACCCATAACCATATAAAATGCAGGAGGCAGGGAAATTGTGTACTTTACTTTTGAGGTTCACGGCAGCATTATTTGTGGATTTCTGTCTCTGTGAACTACAGAGACTTGCTCACTACTCCAGCAGTGATTGGAACGGAGCTCTGCCTCAAGGCTCTGGCACGCATAGACATTTGCCTCTCTGCCCAGGATTTCTTACTTTAATTTCCTGCCACTTTCTTTATCTGCAAAATGGCAGGAGATATTCCATTTCCCTAGTCTTCCATCCCAAAGCAATTTAGCAAAGCCCCCTGAAAAGCTATCTATACTTCAAAGCTCCTAGGGTTGACCTTTGATTTCCTTCTGCTCCCTCCTACCATACATAGATGGGAAGAGATGAGGTCCTGGCTGGGAAAACACTCAAGGGCGTTCCAGGGTGTTCAGGGTAATGTCCAGGCTCCGGGTGGGTAGGAGGTAGAGCGGCAGATGCAGCAGAGGTCCCACTTGGTCCCTAGTTTTGCCTCCTGGGGGTGAGAGTAGGTATGACTCTAATCCGGTAAAAAGCTGGGGCCACCCAGCAAAGTTCCAGGCTTAGAGGCTGTGTGGCTTCGCTGTGGATCCGGGTCGCTAATCTGGCTTTCTCCCACCCACTTCCGCCCCTCTTGTCCCCACAGAGTTCTCTATCAGCAGCTTCTGCACCGTGGTGGACGTCATGAACTTCTCAAAGCTGCAGGTGCTGCGCCTGGACGGTAACGAGATCCAGCGCAACGCAATGCCGGAGGATGCGCCCCTCTGCCTGCGCCTGGCTAGCCTCATCGAGATCTGAGTGGCCCTCGCATTGGGTGCAGGGCCCAGACCCCCCACGCCCCACTGCATTTGGCTTGATGGTTTGGTTTGGCTTTTGTTGGAAGGTCTAGGACAGATCATGTGACAGAATTCCACGGGCTCCCCCTGTAGTCTTCTCCCCTGTAGGCAGGGTCAGGAGGGATGGGAGGACAGGAAGATTTTTTGCTGAGGTACATGGCACAAACTCTTTTCCAGGACAGAAATGGCATCAGAGAGAGTAATCCCTGACAATGCCAACATCAGAAATCTCATTACCCTTAAGTTCTTCCCAATGATCTGATCTCATGATCCTTGGGTATAATATGTAACCTACTTCAACAATTCCTGACTCTGTGAGCAGTGCTTGACAGCTCTCCCACCTGCAGGGCTGGTCATGCTGTCCCTCTGGGCTGGCACTTGCTGCTCCTCAGAATATACCTCTCATCCAGCTGCCTCCTGCTAACTCCACCTCATCCACTCAACTTGCTCCATGGACAGTTCTTGTACACCTTAGGCAGAGGCAGGAAAGACCCCAAAGCACATGGGCATCTGCCTGCCAGAGAACCCACAAGTGTGTCTGAAATTGGAAGGACACCAAAAGTCACCTCTGGGCCTCCCTAACCTCACTCCTTGAAAGCCACCAAACTGGAGGTCACCAGTATGATGACAATATTCATGGCCTGATGTGGGAGGAGACAACTAACCCTTGGCTTAGATAAGTGTATTGGGCTATATAGCAGTCAGGCAGTTCTTTGAAGGTAGGTCAGACTTCAAAAGAGGAAAGATCAGACTGAATTGCCTGATCTGAGAAGTCTCCCCAGTAGTTCTCCTCTTGCCCTGAACTGTCTGCATTTCCAGCAGCTCCCAACTTGGGTCTTTATCCTCCAAGGGAAAACCATGTAGCTCTTGAAGCATGAGATAGTTTGTCCAATCCTCTTATCCAAGCAGGAAGGTCTACATCTTAATGGGAGAGACAGGCTCCAACCAACCCTGCACTTACCTGCTAGCCCAAGAAGGAGGCTGTGGCTTACCTGTATTGATTGATTTGTCTTTAAGGCACTGTTCCGTAGAACCAGCTCTGGCTGAAGATGCTCACTGGGTTCGTGAAGCTCAGGCCAGGCAGCCAACTCTTGCTTCTGCTTTTGCATCTCTGAGCTACACCCTCATTACTGAAGGTGGCAGTTGCTTTATAGCTTGGTTGGAGAGCATTGCAGTCTTCCCATTTCTGAAAAGTAATGTTGCCTGGGCCAAACCCCCTTCCCTTTGGGGCACCATCAGGATGAAGCCCCCTGGGCAGCCCAGGGCAGGAACTGCTGGAAGAGAGCTAACCCTACCCTGGCCCCTGCCCAGATGCCATTATGTCCCTGATGCTATGTGTATTTTAAAGCAGCTTCCCCAAGAAATGAAAGGAGTAATCCTTGGACTATGTTCTTGCCTCCAGACCCTGAAATCCGCAAAAGCCAAACCAGCTCATTTTAACAAAGTAGCTCTGATTTGAGGGGCAAGGCTGCCTCCTGCCCCAGGGCTCTTCAGAAAGCATTTGCATGTGAACACCATCATGCCTCTATAAAGGATCCTTGTTACAGGAAAAGCATGAGTGGTGGCTAACCTGACCAATAAAGGTATTTTACAATTGCATCTGTAAAAATTGAGTCATTGAAGGCAGACACTTTAAGGGAAACTTGTTGGGTCACACGGGTCTCAGACAGGAAGAACTCACCTCATCTATTCTTGGGAAGATGTAGCTAAGGGATTAACAAATAATCTCTCTATTAAAAAAATCTTCTGTATAAAGTCTCTAGTTAGCATACTTTATGCACTGGAAAGTTCTTCTGGAAGTCTAACTTCAGTCTCTCAAGCTACATATTTCCTTCCATTTGGTCCTCAGGAGATAAAGAACAACTGACTTTTTTCAATAATTCTAACATTTTTCTTCTTCCACCATCCTTCCTTATCAACCTAGTAATTCTAGGTCTCACTGGTCCTGAGTATTGTTGTCTTAAATCTCTCCTGCCCTCTAGTGACAATGTGTATAACTGGAGACAGTCAAGTACTGCAAGGTCCAATTGTGCCTAGAAGAAGAAAATAGGCATTCATGTGCTCATTCAATCCTTTATTCATTCTCTCCATGCACATTTCTTAAAAGTCTTCAAGTGTCAGATGTGCTAGGTGCTTAGCAAATGTTGTGAAGTTAAGAGGACAGACTAGGGTTGCATTTTCAGAATGATCCACTGTTTTCTAATAGGGAAATAATTTATTAAGCACTAATATATTCTGTGAAATTCTGTGCCAAGCATGTTACAAATGCTATAACTCCATCTGAAGCCAGAGTAAACTAATTTGATTATAAATCTCTGGAGCAAGAATTAGGTAGGGATCAGAGGGAAACCATGACTTTAAGCATAGGCCTCTCTGCCATCCTGAGGGAGGTGAAGATATGAACACATAGGCAGGGATCCAGCCAAGCTATAAGGAAAGATCCTCTGCCTCTAATTTGTGCTTCTTAGTGGCTCCCATGAACATCCCAACCATGACAGAGCAAGGGGAAGAATGGGAGCAAGGCTGCCCTCTTTTCTACATCCAGTGCTTTTCAAGAGGGTAGCAAGAGTGGACTCACAACCCCTTAGGCTCAATTGGCTCTTTTTGATCGGTACCATTTGATTGGTACTTACTATGTGCTAGGTGCTTTTCTTATGCGACTTCATTAGCATTCCTAATCATTCTATGCCAGAGGTGCTATTATTTTTCATTATTTTACAGATGAGGAAACTGAGGCACAAAGAAGCTGAGGTCACCTGGAAAGGAAGCATTAATGCCACTGACCCCAGGCCATCTGTCTCCCAGGCCTGTCAGTCTTGCTATACTGTTTCTCCTGTGTGATCCTGAAGAGCCCTGTGTTACTGGTGTAAGTAGGACCTCTAAGAGTATGGAGAGACTTGGCAGTAATTGAGGGTGTCATAGTGGAGGGAGGCCATTTGTCTTTATTTTTCTCGAACCCAAATACATTCTGCTCACATTCACAGTCTCTTTATGAATGTTCTGATTAAAATTTATTCTTCATTAATAAGCATATACTGAGTGCACTTGGGGATACTTCAGAGAACAAAAGCAAATAGCCTCTGCCCTTGAGGGGTTTTATAGTCTAGTGCAGTGATAAACAATAAACATTAACAACAAAAAAATATCATCCCTAGGAGAATGAGTTGCTAGCACAGGACTGTTGCAGGAAAATGAAGCAACCAGACACCGAGGGTTTCTGGAGTACGAGGTTTTATTAACGTGTATGGGCTCAGAGGAGTCAATTTCCAAATTCTGAGCCCTGAAAAAAGGATTCTTGGGGTTTTTATAGTTTACAGGGTCTTCTTGTCTACGTAGCAAAGTGGGATACAGAAGCGGAATGGGGAAGCTAGTTCTAGCTATGGGGCAGAAGCAGAGGACAAAGGCTAAACTCGAAGGTCAGTTTTTAACAGCAGGGGTGTTAATCTCCGTCCTAGCTAATGCACTGTTGTTTGCTTATCCTGGACAGCCCCATCATTCTCCCTAGGGCGCCTGGGGCCTGGGCAAATAAAGGTTAAACAGAGGTTCTTCAAAACTTCCCATATCACTAGCAACAGGTCTAACTAGCTACAGTCATTTTGAAGTGCTGATGAATGTAAATGGTATTTCTGAGTATTTTCAATAACTAATGTGACACAAAAATACTTATGATTTCAGTCGGTGACAAAGCCTCAGGTACTGCTAATACTGTTGTGGTTTTGTTACCTTCATCATAATTGACAGGAATACTAGCTTTCAGTTGACTGTGTAAAAAAATAAAAATACAGTGTCTTCATCACAATTCACACACTTCTCTAAGTTTAGCCATAAAAAGACAGGCAGAATCCTGGATGGTAAAGAAAAGAAGGCAAGTTGCGATCTTTTCTCTCTCTGAGTACAGCTCCACTGTTCTATACCTTTTAACTGTGTGCAAATCCCTGAACCAGAAAACACATCACTAGTTCATACATTCAGGATATGAAAGAATGAATGTAGACCTCTCAAGTTATTTGCTATGAAGTTTGATGGGAAGAATAATAACTAACATGCATTTTGCCTTAGCCACTTAAAAGATACAGTTGACTTAAATAGAACCCTGAGGCAGTTTGATATATACATAAGTGCCAAAGGAAATATAAGGAGAAAATGTCTTTCTATTCTTTCTGAAGAAGAAGGAATGATGAGGGCTGGGGTGGTCAGCAAAGCTTCTAGAGTAGACCCAGGCACCATTTTCCTGGGGGTCTGAGAACCACTCCTCCATTCTCTAGCTCAAGCCATTACCACAGGCACTCAGGTACAGGGTACACAGCTAAGGTGTGTCATCAGGACACTCAGAATCCTGTGTAGACTTCCTCAAACTCTCTGAGACTTCTGCCTGAGACACTCTACCTCAAACAGACTGATGGAACTGCCTACTACTAGCTGAGCATCCAGGTGACCCAGGTTGCCATGTTGTGCCCAGTGGAGGCAAATGCTCAATTCTATGGTGGCCTGAGTTCCTGGAATAGCAATCCTTCTTGGGAACTACACACTGTCCTGGGGACAGAGCCCACAGGTGATTTGAGTAGTACAGACACAGAGACTTACCAAGTCCTGGGCTACCCCAGGTGGACCAGGGAGCAGAAAAAGGGGAAAAACTAGCATAGGAAGGCTAAAATAGACAAAAGAACCAAGCAAATCCTGCCCAGTTATTCAGGTCTCCAACAAAAATTGCAAATAGTAAACATAAATATGCTGTTTTCACATACGCATCCAGGTTGCCAGCTACACTTAGAAGAAAAAGAATTATACTTGACCCAGTTTAAGAAATAATAACAGGAAATGGGTCAGAGTCCCAAGAGGAGATAAGGAAATCTACTTGTATAATCAAAAGCATTGGAAAACTGTAAGGTTAATCTTGAGCACTTCTAAAACTCACCAGCAGAGAACATTCAACCTCACTAATCCCCACATCTCCTCTACAGGCATCATACAGATCCATTGGTCTTGGCAAAATAAGACTCTGGAGACAGGTTGGGACAATAACAGGTGCATGCCATTGATGCCAGGCTTAGCTGGCAATTCTTGAGGTCAATCTGAGTCAACAATTGCAGTTTGCACAAGAAGATATGGGGAAAATGGTTCCAAGGAAGAATCCACAAAACCCAAACCCCAAAATAGAACGAGACATATGTGGTCAAGTGTCAGGGGCACAATCAGCTCTAAGCCCAGGAGGAAAGATGAGTCAGGATCATATGGGGATATCATTATGGCAACATGGGAGTTGGCTCAGTGCATCCCTTGTGACTTCAGCCCATCCTCACATGTGGCACCTTAAAAATCTGAAAAGCATCTCTCATTGGGCTCAATAATCACATTTTCTGAACAAGAATTATAACAGATTTCACTAAATATGCATGTGTTCATGAAACTTTAAAATAGAACACTTAAAACCATTTGTGTCCTTGGAAGTCTAGGCCATACAATCAATAAGGTCTATTTGGAAGACAGACCATCAGATAGAGAGAGGGGTTATGTTGATTCCAATTCTCCAGCAGTAGAAATCGAATTTAGCTGATCTAAGTAGAAAAGGAATCCATTTATTCTTTCATTTGTTTGTTGCCCCATTAAGGGGATGTCATATCGGGTAGCTCATAGACTCTCTAGGAGGGCTCTAGACCAGGCTTGAAGGAACAATGTTTCTAGGCATTGTTTCTAGACCAGCCAGAAATAATGCCTAAGACCATGTCCATAAAGACTCGCAGCCATGCTCCCAGGACAGAGACCTGGGGGCTAGCTCCACCAGCGCCACCAGTAGTGGATAATGGATTCTTCATAAGAAGCACCAGCGTTCCTGCCTATGGAATCTGGATGTATCTGCCATCGATACCCTGTCCTCACCAGAGTGGGTTCCACAGGCCTCTTCTTTGACATGCCCCTAACTTTTAATTTAAGGTTAAATTGGCAGGATCAAGCCATCTACTAGTAGTCCAGAGGTAAGTGAGGCTGGGAAAGTGAGCACCAGGATATTAATCTTCAATAGTAGGAGTCAGGCTGTGTCACATGGGAATGTAGGGAATGACCCTGAATTAAATAAGAGCTCAGATCCTGAGTGGCCAAGCTAATGGCAGAGTCTCCTTTCGGGAAATCTGAGGCTTGATCTCCACACCTGCTTCCATGGCAACTTTGTGGAGCTGAGTAACAGATACCTGCATGGGTATAGGGTGTCCTTATATAAATTAGGACTACTGCATATAGATGCCTCCTTCCTCTTAATCTAGAAATACTTTATTCTGGCTAGTACTGCTTTGAGTCTGGTTTCAAGTCTACAGACCCCATCTGTATTAGTTTCCTAGGGCTGCTGTAACAGAGTATTACAAACTGGGTGACATAAAACAAATTTTAAACTTTACTTCTTCTCTAGAAGTTCTGGAGGCCAGATGTTTTGAATCAAGGTACCAGTAGAACCACACTCCTTCTGAAGGCTTTGGGAAAAGATCCCTCATGGTCTCTTACAACTTCTGGTGACTCCTGATGTTCCTTGGCTTGTAGTCACATCACTCCAATCTCTGTCTACCTCCATCTTCCTATGGCTGTCTTCCCTCTGTGTCTCTCTGTGTCTG